TTAGAAGGTGACACCAAATGCATTGTCACTATCAGTGAGGTAGCGAATGTCAACAATAGTCACATGATCGCGGACCCACATGGGTCTAAAAATAGACATGTAAACAAACTGCTCATGAGAGCTGTGAAGATAGTATATATTGATAAATATCCATAGCAATAGTCTTCCGATTGCTTATCTTCGATAGGGATTATTGTTATATAGTCGTTACCCAGTTGTGCTCCATGAAGTTCAGTCGTATGAATTATTGTAAAGGTATAAAGAGATAACAAAGAACACAGTGCACGGTTTTCACAAACAGTTGAGAGTTACACACAATGCGACAAGCTCTTACAATGATGCTTGGTCAATGTCATCCTCAAGTTTCACTGTTTTCCAAGGTCGATCTGAGTTTTTTCTACACTGTAGTATAATTTCAATTCCCTTTTCCTGAATACGCGTTTGAACCATGTATTTCTGCCTCAATTCATATGCTTTGTTGGCCAGTTTTCCACGAATCTTCTTCAAGGGAACTGGGAGGTCAGTGCGGATAGACACATGTCTCTCTCGCAGTATGGCACTCTTACGAAAACTGGCTTCGATAATAGCTTGCCTGTCACACATGTTGACAAATTTGATCACTATAGGCTTTGGAGAAGCAGCTGTGCGAGGATTTGTACTCTGACGCGGCAGCCTATGAATATTCACAATGTTTATGTCGTGAGCATGTGATATTCCCAGATCCTTGAAAAGATCTCTGCAAGCTGATTCTGGGTCTCGTTCATCGGGTATACCATAGATCAGCAAGTTATTCTTGCGAAAATAAAGCTCTTGTGTCAATAGTTTAGTTTCAGTGTCTTTTCGTAACTGGTCCATTTCGTCTCTGAGCATTTGAATCTCGGCTTTGTTTCCATTAATCTGTTCAGAGTTAAACTCGACTGATCGGAGAATATCATCCGTTTTAGATTGCAATTTTGCTACTTCGACATTCACTTTGTCAATTTTCGAAGTGATTTCATTTGTTTGTTGCTGTAATGAGTCTCTAATGAAATATTTCATTTCATCGATCATGCTTACCGACATGGCGGTCGATGCATTTTCCTGTGTCGAGGTAGCTCCGATACATGTTGCGGTTTTTTGCTTAGCCGCTGGTTGGGCGTCCAAATTTAATTGCTGATCTTGATTTAGGGGGTTCTGCATCTGCTTTTCCTCTATGGCTTTTTCTTGGATTGGCCATGATGTTACAGATATGGATGGATTCGCTCGGGAGATGTTATATGCGACCTATCGCCATGAGCGCCACCGGATGTGCGGATGTTTTAAAATTAGTAATCTACAATAAGTTGAATATTTGTGATATTCATTGTTCCGGACTAGGAGAAAACAAAACTACAACTCTAGCGGCTAGTTCGAATTATTGACTGCTCCTTTGTGTCGTTTGGTTCAATATATATGACAAGTGTGGGTTTCTATCGGTCGTCATCGCTTGACTGCAGGACATAATTCAAGTCGAAGAGTGTAGATGACTACCAAAGAGGTATGTGTCTTTTTTTATGATTGATTAATGACGAGAGGAACTAACGAAATGAGTATTTTAAAGCGTTGGAATTCAAAAACCTTTGTGTGCACATACTTAGTGTATAGATGTGACTGTAGTGATCACCGTGTCCACTACGATACTAGATCACCGTGGAGTAAGCCGTGGCTCGCACCCTGCAAGTATTAGCGCCCAAATCTACGGTTTTAGGTAGACCCTTGAAACAGGCAATTTATACTCACAAGATGGCTTCCACGAACTCGCTGTGGCGATCGGCTGTCTCCGGCACTTTCCGTCGAGTCCTCCAACTTCCGGTTGACAGCTCCGATCACCACATCCCTCCCTGTTTTATAGGCCCCTTCCCGCGGAACAACGCCATCACACTCCCCGTGTTAACTTTCCCCAATGGGGGGGTCTCCTTATAAATGTCCACCCGGAGAAACCACTCCCTGTTTCTCCAGGTTCAAGGGTCCATCCCTTTATCATATTGTTCACATGAGCGGGTGATCCCCAGCTCCCTCCTCGGAATCACACCCGCCCTTTCGGGTGGAACCAACAGTTCAACACATCCTTATCCCCAACCCACTCCTCGGTTAGGGTGGGACCAACTGTACCTTGCACAATATAACCGGGCTCCACCTCCTATGGAATATGACACACAGCTCTCCACATGTCCCTTGTCCTACTTTCCCCTTGGCGAGGAACCCAGAATTCTTCACACTTGATTTCCCCCTTCACCCCCTCCTTAGGGTGAAAACCTCTCACCTCATCATCCTCCGACCTGCCCCACTCCCCTGTGGGGTGGGCTCTCCGCCTCTCTACAAGGCAAACAACCGAGCTGCGTTTGCAGTTGTAGCCACCAGCAGCTCCTTGGTACTCATCCCCCTCTTCCAATCCACCATATCTCCAATCAGGCACAGCAGTGCCGGGGAGTTGACGCGATACCCCTTGGGTGGCATGTATGGGAGTCTGTTTCCAACAGCAGTCAGTCACCCGGCACCGCTCTCAGACCAGCCACTTGGTCTGACTTAAACCCTTGCACCCGGCCCGTGAAGCCGAAGTAGGCCCGGGGGAATGCCTTTAACCATTCCTGCACTGTTTCCTCTCCACCCGCGAAACAGTGCACGTGCACCGGCTGTTGTGGCGGTAAGATCCCCTTCAGGATTTGTATTGCACGGGCGTGGGTTGCCCCCGCCTCCTCATCTCCCGCGGGTCCCCTCACGTGCAATATTACCACCCGCCCGGCTGGGACATGTGGTAATAGCTCCTTCAGGGCGGATTCCTGGCCTCTCCACTCCCACGCCGGGACTGAGTGATCCAATCCGACCTCCCCCACTAGGCATCGGGCGTCTTTCCAAAAACTAAGAATCTGTCAAAACAACTTGTCCGTCAAGCCTGCGACCTTCTTTGGGTGGATTCCGACCGCGGTGATGTATCTTGGGTCATTGTTGATTCGCTGAGGATACGTAGGGGGGTCGCAGTATACTTCAACCCCCCAGACAGGCAGCTCTCCGAATGGGTGACTCACCTCTGGCGCGGAGGCCAATAGTTCGGGAGTGGTCCCCTGGGGCGCCCTCCCAAACGTGCCCGCCCATGTCCGGTCCAGGTGGAAGTGGGTGTCAAACAGATGGTCGAGACCCCCTGGACCCTGGAGCGTCCCTTCTTCTCCCAGCCCCTCAGACGCAAGCTCCTCTTCCCATATCACCACTTCCCCACACACTTCCTCGCTTCCTCCGACGGCCCCCATGTCCGCGGACTCATCTTCTCCCAACCCCTCAGACGCGAGCTCCTCTTCCCATGTCTCCACCTCCCCACACACTTCCTCGCTTCCTCCGACGGCCCCCATGTCTGCGGACTCATCTTCTCCCCCTACTTGGACCTCCTCGTCCTCCGGCAACCACATGGCCTCCGCCTGTCCCACATCTATCAGTTCCTGGTCCCATTCCTGGGGAACCTGGACCCGCGCAGTCCAGCGGGTATGTTGGGGCACTGAAACCATGAGCAAGCGGAACTCCCTCCTCTTGTCCTGAGGCACAAAGTTCAGAAGATGGAGCAACACCCTCCATTGCTTCAGGCACGCTGGAGAGTTCAGGGGCCGCAGGCTGAATTTGGTTGGGATGCGCCAACCCTGGGCCGTACACAAATGCCTCAGTCCAGCTATTGCATTCTCTTGGAGGGTGCAATCCGGGGACAATTGAACATTCCGATTACAAAACTCGTGTAACCCCTCCAGGGTTGCGCCTGGACCCAGAATCCAGGACGCCAGCTGCCGTAGGGCCGTCACTATTTTGTCCAGCACATCTCGTTATGGAGGATGATCCTGCGGGTACCGAGCCCGGAAATAGCGAGGGAGATGTGCAAAAAAGGCATGGTCCTGCAATTTATAGGTCCTTGTCCCACACCCCTCTACGGGACAACTGGATCCTCGACCCCTCCACCTCCTGGGCTCACCCCTCGACACCACCGCTGGGTGCCGACTCCAAGACCCCCCTTGGTCCTGGATGGGTGCCCCTCCTGTCTCTGGTGTGCTCGGGTGCCAACTCCAAAACCCCCCTTGGTCCTGGATGGGGGCCCCTCCTGTCTCTGGTCTGCTCCAGGAACCGTCCCCTTCCGGCCCCTGGTAGCCCTAAGTGGTCCCACACCACGGGGTATCTCTCCTCCTCCTTCTTTGTTCTTTTAGGCCCCCAGGGTCCTCCCTGAGGAAGGCCTGGCCTGGTCACTGTTGAACTTGGCCTCTTCGGTGGCGGTGGCGGTGGCTGGTACTCCACCTCTCTTCTCCGGCATGGTGGCGATCTCCTCCGAGGTCTGATGACGACCTGCACCGGCATCCCCTCCACAGTGGGCCGGACCACCACCCGCTCCCCATAACTCCGTTGTCTACTTCGCGTAGGGCGCTCCTGCCTCATCTCCACCTCTCTCTTCTCCACCTTTCTCCTCTCCACCTCTCTCATCTCCACCTCTCTCCTCTCCACCTCTCTCTCTCTACCCCTCTCTTCCCGTCCTCGGCGCGGTTCGCTGGGTCCGCCCGACAAGCATTCCCTAATGTCTGCCCCGGGAGTAGGCCTCTCCCGCCACTCCGAAACCTTCCTCTCTGGCTTTCCTCTATCCATGTTGGTTGAGTCTGATGCGGATTCCTGTAAACCAAAAAACCAACCGCTGATACGATTGTCCATCCCCACCTCACACCTCTAACCGCCCCGAAAGATCAAAACGCCTCTGCACCACCCAAGGGTCCCACTGCTCCAGATCCGCAGGTGGGACAGTGGTATTCGTCCATGGCCTCCGCCATGGTCTCTGTCACTCCTACACAAGTTCCATGAAACCACTCATCGCAGTCATCACATGCAATCATGAAACCTCCGTCATCCGGCTGGCGACAGTGGCAGTACACGGGCCCGGTTTCCTCCCCGTCATCCGCCTTTGTCGTGAGATCCCACTCCCCCTCTAGAGTGGGGACCTCCTCCCGTTTCTTCCTTCTCTCCATCTAGCGAGGCACAACCCGATCCCGGCACAACTTCATCTGGTCATGATGAGCCGTGAACTTCCTCCGCTGCCCAGCCACCAAAAACAGGGTAGAAGAGAGCCTTTTCTCAATAAGGTAAGGTCCCTTCCACACGGGGCACAGCTTTTTGCACCGCCCTGGTGTAGCCCCTAAGTCTAACACATACACAGGTTGTCCTTGGTCCAAACTCTGAGATCGAGCACGCAGATCGTAATCCCTCTTCATCCTTTCCACAGAAGTTTGCAGATTATTCAGAGCTGCTGCATGAGCACTCTCCATTGCTGCTCGAAGCCCGGCCACGTACTCACTGGTGTCACCTTCTTGCCGGGAAGTCTCCGACCCCCCGAACATCAAGTCAGCCGGAACATTTACTTCCCGGCCAAGCATCAGGCGGTTGGCCGTATAACCGGTATGGCGGTTCACTGCGGACCTCATGGCTCCCGCCAGCTGGGGCAAATATTCATCCCACGTGGTTTGAGATTTGGATATATAACAGCGGATCATCTGCATCAGTGTCCAATTTGAATCTCTCTACCTGTCCATTAGAAGAGGGACGGTAGGGGGTCGTCCTCGTCTTGGTTATCTGCAACAGCTGGCAGATTTCATGGAAAAGTCGACTCTCGAAATTCCTGCCTTGGTCCGCATGGATCTGAAGTGGAAACCCAAACCGTGCAATGAATTCATTCACCGCTGCCCTTGCTGTCACTTCTGCCTTTTGGCTCGGGAGAGGCACACACTCCACCCATTTGGTGAACTGGTCTACCATCATGAGAATATGCTGGTTCCCTGCTCTGCTTGAGGGCAATGGGCCAATACAGTCCAGGTGCACCCTCTCCATTGGGGCTCCCGCATGGAATGGGGTCATCCTTGACCGGGCCTTCCGTGATGGTTTCTTATTCCGGTTGCAAGCGGAGCATTCCGACACGTAGTCCCTGGTGTCTTGCCCGCACCGGTACCAATGGTACCTCTCCTTTATCCTCTCCTTGGTTTTAGTCACTCCCAGGTGTCCGCTTGATGGGATGTCATGCATCTGATAAAGCACCATTCGCTGTAGAGTCCTGGGTATCAGCAGTTTTTCAGTGTCATTCACTGCTGGAATTCCCTTCCTCACCAGTACTCCCTCCTCATTTCGTTCGAATAGTTCTCTATCCACCCAATAAGACTTGGCGGCCAGGCTAGACAAATATAGTTCTGAGTCTGATGGTACTTCACCTCCGTCCACCCATCTACGTAGGTGTCTGAGATCCCTATCCTCCTCTTGAGCGATCTTCAGTGCCGTCAGGGAGCCGTCCCAAGAGTCCTTGTCCCCCTTCTGTGGGCACTCTGGTACTGTGAGAGTCCTTACTGAGAAAGTTGTCTCAGACCTACTCACTTCAAGGGTATGCGCCTGATTCTCTGTCCGACTCCCGCCCTCTCCACCGGCATCCTCTCCGGTGGGGACCTCTGTCAGGTGGTTGCTCTCTTCCACCACTGTCAAAGCCCTGACCGTCCTAGGTCAGCCGGCCAATGGGATCACATAGTCTACCTCTTCATGGAACTGTCCCCACTGTTGGTGTGCCTTCTGGCAGTATCGGCACCCCCCACATGGGAGTTCCTGGAGCTCCACGAATCGTCGGTAGTTGTCACATTCCACTTCGTCGGCCAACCGGGACAAGCCGTCCGCATTCTGATGTTTGGCTCCTGGACGGTGCTCCACCCTTAAGTCGTATTGGCTCAGTTCCTCCAACCAGCGAGCAAGCTGCCCTTCAGGTGCCCTGAAATTCATTAGCCATCTTAAGCTGTTATGGTCCGTCCGTACCCGGAAATGCCTCCCTAGAAGATAGTGACGGTACTGCCTTGTGAAACGTACCACTGCCAATAGCTCCTTGTGGGTTGTACAGTACCGCCGTTGTTCTGGAGTCAAGGCGAAGCTGCCGTAGCTGATCACTCGCTCCCGACCTTTTTGTATCTGCAGGAGTTCAGCCCCTATGGCCACGTCTGAGGCATCTGTGTCCAAGACGAACATGTCCTCCTTGTTTGGCATGCCTAACACCGGTGTTGTCAACAACGCCTGCTTCAAGTCCAGGAAACCTTGCTCCTGCTCCTCTCCCCACTAATATGGTTTTTTCCCCGTAATAGCGTACAAGGGTGCTGCCGTCTTGGCGTAGTCTTTGATAAAGCCCCAGTGGTAGTTGGCAAAACCCAGGAACCTTTCCACCTCACGTGTAGTGGTTGGTCTGGGCCAGTTCTCTACCGGTCCCAAGCTAGTAGGGTTCACGCGGATCCCCTCGCCGCTGACTACCCTCCCAAGGAATTCAATCTCCCGCTGAAACAGTTCACATTTTCTGGGCTTCAGCTTCAAATTGTATTTCCTGAACCGCTGTAGAACTGCACGTAGGTTCTGAAAATGGTCCGGAACAGCCAGGCCAGTTACCACGGCATCATCCAGGAATGCGAGAGCAATCTCCCAGCTGAGACCCACGAGGATAAGAGACATTACTCTAGCGTACGTCGCTGGGGCGTTGCACAACCCAAACGCCATTCTTACATGTTCAAAGAGTCCATATCGTGTAACAAAGGCCGTTTTCTTACAATCCTCCTCCCTGATGCGGACTTGCCAGTACACTGAGTTGGCATCTAATTTGGAGAACCACCGACTCGCTGCCAAGGTGTCCAAACACTCATCTATCAAGGGTAGGGGGAAAACGTCCTTCTGACATTTTTCGTTCACCGCTCGGTAGTCCACACAATAGTGTACCCCTCCGTCACCCTTGCGTATAAGCACCGGAGCTGACGCCCATTCCGACACCGAAGGTCTAATCACCCCAGCCTCCAACATTTTCTTCAAGTGAGCTTCCTCCTCCTCGACAAACCCCAGCGGCGTTATACACATACGTTGTTTAACTGGTGGCTCCTCGCCAGTGACGATAGTATGTTCAATGGCTGTGAAGTCCCCTAAGTCCAAGTCATGTCGTGCGAAGACATCCTGAAATTCGACTAACAACTTAGCCAGTTCATTTTGGTCTGTTGGTCCTAGTTCACGTTTCGACCTGGTGAATAGTCCCTTCAGGTGATCCGGAACTTGAGTCTCCAGGTCGTCTTCTCCCACCCCCTCATTGGAAGACGCCCTGCATTCAGGGTTTCCAGCAGCCTCGCTTCTCCCTCGGCCCGGGTCTACTACTTCTGCCTCGGACGCATTGCCGATGTGTTGTCCCTTGTGCAACTTCACTGTGTGGTCGGCCGTGTTCACCAGACACACCACTGGGGATTCTTGTCCCTTGTGTAAAGTCCTCGGCATAAGAGCATATCGCTGTACTCCCTGCACTGGCTCTACTAAGTATTGGTTTAAGTTCCATCCGATACAGCAGGATACTCGGGTGGCAGTGTGAGGTGCTAACGACAGTGTTTGAGCTACTGTCACTTTGCATACCCCATACTTCTTGAGCTTCAACGTCATGGGAACCTCACATCCGCCGATGGTGATGGTTCTTTGCTGCACATTGATATTGGTACAATGTCTGTCTATAAAGTCCAGGCCCAGGATAAGTTGGTCATTTATTGGGGCTACCAACACTTCTTGTCGGTATGTCACTCCATTAATTCGAATACGGGCCATGTCTGTTATCCATCCCTTCATTCTCATATCTCGACCTGCATTGTTCACTATCACCGGTCTGGATATGGGCAACTTATCACGCAGTTGTTCAAAGAAGATATCAGACACAATAGTGTTCTGAGCCGCTGTATCCACTACCCCCTGGGTCTCTGTTCCTTGGAAGGTCACCGGTATCAAGTATGAGGTTCCTTCATCCAGAGCATTAATGGTTACTATGGGCAATCCCGTCTCTCTATCCATCTCTCCTTCTTCCCCACCACCTGGCCATGTAGCACTCCCGTTAGTGCTTCTCTGGTCTCTGCCGTCTGGTGGCCATGGCGGCAAACCCTGGTTATCCAATCCAGAGTTGTTGTGAGACGCAGTCTCCCACACTGCGCCCATCCGACAGTCTATGCAGTTATCAGGCGGCCATGGGGGCAAACCCTGAATATCTAACCCAGAGTTATTGTGAGGCGCAGTCGCTGACACTGTACTCTTCCGACAGTCTATACCAATCGGATTATCTGGCGGCCATGGCGGTAGACCCTTGATAGTTTCTTCAGCAAGAAGAGGACGAGCATGCGGGTCTACAAACCCGCCCCCTGGCTGTTTAAAGGCTTCTCTGTGGATCCCACCGCAAAGGAAACACTTTTAGCTGCAGGTGCTCCTCAGTATCGATCACTGTCATTGCCCGCAACTCCCGCCTCGGCCTACTGTACTGCAAGTGCGAGTTGTGTTGGTAGTGCCTCACGGCATCCATGGCCCTTTCCAGGGAAGTTGGTTTCAGATTGTACACCAGGTTCCCCGCATCCCGGTTCTCACAGCCCATGCAAAACCTGGTTATGGTCTCTTGCTCCACAAAGTCCTCTGGCAGACCTGGATATGCTCGTGACGAGGTTGCCACCAAACGTTCAGCCCAGGCCTCCAGTGTCTCCCCTGGCTCCTGTTTCAAGGACGGGAAACGCATTCTTGCCGCCTGGGCAGGTTCCACGATGCCAAACCTCTTTTGGAATTTCTCCATCATTTGCTCATATGACATGAACAGGTCCCTCATTTGACACGTGGTAAAGAAAGAACTTGCTTCCCCACGCATGCAAAAACACAACTGGAAGAGTTTGTCCTCATCCGTCCATCCCTCTCTATCCGCCAGCTTCTCGAACTTGAGCTTGAACGGCGCCCACGCCTCCTTCCCATCGTAGCTAACCAGGGATGTGACAACGCGAGATCCTGTATGGTCGTTGGCCCTTGGGCCTTGGTTCCGTCTACCCCTAGGTGGACCTTGATCTCTCTCCTCCTGTGGTACTCGTCCTCTTACAGGCTGGGGCTCTTGCCGTCTGGGGTTTTGTGCGGAACCTGTCATTTCCCCGTGCTCCCCTTTCCGGGGCGTCTGCTCCTGTTTCATCTCCCGGTGGGGCAGACCCGCCTCTGGCTCCGGTGTCCCTGCCGGAGGTATATAAGCAACTGACCTCTTGGCATTCTTCTCATCCACCATCTCGCTAATGTTGCCCATCTCATAGCGCTGCACATTAGAATGCCCCGCACCACTCTTCGGGCGGACATCAAGTGGTGTTGCTTTATCTCGATCTGGAGTGGTTGTCACTCCCCAGTGACCATCCTCCACTCGAACGGGTGTTATAGGCTCCCGCTTCAACTCTTGGTGTCCCCAACATGGCATATTATCTCTAATAAACATGTCCTCTCTCGCCTCCATGGAAGCATTATGTGAGGCCGTGTCATATGGCCCACCCCTAAGGTGTCCCTCCGGTGTCCCAAAGTTGTCCATACGGCCTAACACCCTATCCAGCCTGTCTTCGGATTTTCTGTCCATCTCCGCCACTGTCCACAATATTTTTGAGGCATTATCCTCGTTTCGAGCGGCACTCCTCTTGTGCACTTCTTCCATAGTCTGTAGCATTCCTTGTGCACTCTCCTCATTTCTAGCAGCACTCTTTTGGCTTATTCCCTCCAGGGTGCGCATCATTTTTTGCGCACTCTCCTCATTCCTAGCAGCACTCTTTCGGCTTATTCCCTCCAGGGTGAGCATCATCTGGCTCATCAACTGCCTGAGCTCATCCATTGGCACTCCCGTGTCCCGGCCAGTACCATCAGTCCCCGCTTGGCCTTCCTCTGGGGTGTCACTCTCGCCTCCGGAGTCGCCACCCTGAGTCGAACCCTCGACATTGAGCGCACTGGCCACCTCGTGGCTTTCCCCATGATCATTTGGCGGTGGGGCCACTCCCTTCAATGACCCATTGAGTACAAATGAGAGTAATGACATAGCGTCCTCGTCCATACGGAGCTCCTCCATATTCTCCACCTCTTCCCTGGTGATGTTATATCCCTGGCTCCTAATTGACATGAGCCTATCCACCTGGTCTCTGGAGAGCCCAATGTGTTTTAACTCTGTGGGGTTCACAAAGTTCACGTGTACCACTTTGGCAGCCATGATGAAAAGTCAACGCACAGAACGGTCCCCTCACCGTGAAGTGTCTCCGATATGTGTTGCTATTCTCCCCTCTATAAGAGATCGGGGATAGCAGGGTCCAAATCCCTCCCGAGTAGCGGTCAGAATGCTATGCCAATGTCACTATCCCACAGTAGTGGCTGAGATTAGGAATCAATGTCACTATCCCACCGAGTAGCGGTTGAGATTAGGAATCAATGTCACTATCCCACCGAGTAGCGGTTGAGATTGGGAATCAATGTCACTATCCCACCGAGTAGCGGTTGAGATTGGGAATCAATGTCACTATCCCCCCCGAGTAGCGGTTGAGATTATTGATTAATACTATCCCACCGAGTAGCGGTTGAGATTAGGAATCAATGTCACTATCCCACCGAGTAGCGGTTGAGATTAGGAATCAATGTCACTACCCCCCCCGAGTAGCGGTTGAGATTATTGATTAATACTATCCCACCGAGTAGCGGTTGAGATTTAGGTATCAATGTCACTATCCCACCGAGTAGCGGTTGAGATTGGGAATCAATGTCACTATCCCACCGAGTAGCGGTTGAGATTGGGAATCAATGTCACTATCCCACCGAGTAGTGGTTGAGATTGGGAATCAATGTCACTATCCCACCGAGTAGCGGTTGAGATTGGGAATCAATGTCACTATCCCACCGAGTAGCGGTTGAGATTGGGAATCAATGTCACTATCCCCCGAGTAGCGGTTGGGCTTATGGGTAAATGTCACTATCCCACCGTACTAGTACTGGTGGAGGGGGTGTTGAGCCATTTATCACCACTTACATTGATACCCCTTTCCTAGCAACAACAGATGCGTTATATAATATATATGTTCAGTTCCATACATGCATGTCCACTGACATCTATCCTACTTGGAAGTTATAAGTTCCCCATTACTTACCGTGACTTTTCTCCCAAGAAAAATTCCATGAATAGTCCTCCATAGAAATACACAATCCATGAATCATCTCACACACGAATATATCCATGAATAAACACAGTCTGCGGCAAAACACCGTCCTTCGCGCAACAAGTTCACCGCAAATTGTCCAAAGTCAAATGTCAACACAGCCTCCGGAAGTAAACACTGGATTTCCCCCCGGTCATGCGCAGTGGTAACCCTCAGGCGGCACAGAGCGTAGCATTAGAAATATACGAAAATACCCTAAATCCCTCAAATTACTCTACCTAGCACCGAAAGATCCCTAAATAAGTTCTAACTACGCTATGCAATCTCGCTCGCTCTGCAACCCCACCACAGCGCCGAGCTGAGAAAGCTGGGTGACCAGTAAGTCCCCCCCCCGCCCGCGTGCTCCCCCACGCGGGTAACCTAAACTACCCTCAAAAGCTCCACTAAGCTACTTTTTAGAACGGTAACTAGTCCTCCCCTCTCCGATATAGGTACGGAGATACTAGAAAACCCTTATAACTATACTATAACCCACTGAAATTCTGTTACACCCACTTTGGGTGGAAGACCATGCGGTCTCCCAAGCGCGGGAAAACAGAAAAGTGGCGAGCGATGCCCCGAGCGAGAAAAATGGAATTCCTCGCTCAGAATCGTTGTTCACAGCGCCACTGTAGTGATCACCGTGTCCACTATGCTACTAGATCACCGTGGAGTAAGCCGTGGCTCGCACCCTGCAAGTATTAGCGCCCAAATCTACGGTTTTAGGTAGACCCCTGAAACAGGCAATTTATACTCACAAGATGGCTTCCACGAACTCGCTGTGGCGATCGGCTGTCTCCGGCACTTTCCGTCGAGTCCTCCAACTTCCGGTTGACAGCTATGATCACCACATGACCGTTGACCTACTTGAACTTGAATAGTAAGCATAAAATGTGGAGACCATATATTGTGGTTACAAGAATAATTTTCATGAATTACGTTTACGTCTGATATCTTCCAAAAATGTATGTACATGTTGAGAAATGTACCTTGATGGTCCTAAGATACGTGTGTTAACCAATGCTAGCATCGTGACAGGTTCAGTGTATTTTATACACATAACATTTACTGATCATGGTATCAGGTTTGATGCATGCTAAAACAAATGACAGTACACTCACAATGATGATATGTTAACAAATATTTTTTATTACTATTATCTATATGTATTAACATAGGATTACATTATGGTTGTTTATCACTAACTAAACACTTTTACAAAGATTCCAAGTTTCTAGGGTTTCCAGGTATGCCAAGCCCAGGTTTGCGTTTTATGTATAGTCTTTTCGCACTCTGGTGTTCTGAGGTTTTACTGTAATTCCTCAAGAGATGTTTGGGCACACGTAAACTTACAAGTAATTTACGAAACTCCTTATAGCCAGTTGGTCTTTTCTTTTTTGACACAGACTCGGAACCAAGAATAGAATATCGAATCAACTTTGTGAGGTTTGAATCTTTCAACACGTTTCCATTTGGCAACACAATCTCTAAATTATCCGTCACTGTCATGTTGCCTGCGTCGACTTTATGTTTGACAAACAGAAACAGAGACATTACTTTTCCCATAGTTCTCTTAGATTTAATGTTCTTCAGAAGATGATCAAGAACTGTAAACAAAAAGTCACTGCTGTTGTTGACAGGTTTCCGGTTCCCATCGCATACATCGTTCCTTGAGGCAATGTTGCCTGTCGATTCATTCGCTGTCTGAGTAGGAAGAGGAGGCACTGTCGTCTGATGTTCCGGATTCCTCTCCTGACTCACTGTCGCTGTCTCCATCATCGATGACTTGTTGTCTTCCTGTTTGGACATCAGGCTGTTGTAGGTGTCCCTCGACAGGAGCATCATTGCCTAGGTCATGACGAGTGAGCGACAGGTAAGCCAGTAAAATTCTTATGCACACACACAAAACTGTATGATGTGAGACCAGTAGCTGACGTTTCTCACGACTTCTCACCGTCTTGCTCGCTAGAGTCCTAATGAGCTTTTTGTATCGTCGCAGTCAAATTTTATCAGGATCGGAGATGGGTATGATACCGCCAGAGGATGATATATATCATTGTGATAATAGCTTTGAATTGTTCACCAGAGAGATGTGTCAGCAAAGCTTTCCTTTGCTTGGTGTTGACCTGTTCCAACGTGCGTAGAAAAGACACGTGTTTTTCCACGAGTTCGCTCATGATGTAGGATTTGAAACAATCGTGGTTCAGATGGCTGATAAGTTGTCGCGGATGAATTTTTACTCCGTTCAATCACAAAATAGATTGTGCCTCCCCAACGATTAGGAGGAATGTTGATACATCGAGTTTTGACAACACCTTAAAGCTCGTCGATAGCTTGTAACATTGCTAGTATACCACTTTTCACACTGAAGCAAACTACTCTCCGACGATGTTGTTGGTGTGTAAAGCCACTGCGATATACCTTCTTGTCCATACTCGAATCACAAACTGATTCTTTATTCAAGATGTGTTCCGTTATATAGCTATTTTGGTAAATACACTGTGCACACATCTCCAGGCAATATCCCCATTCGTAAACGACCGTAGAGCTCGTCGGCATAGGGAGATGCATCGATGAGTAGATAGTTGTATTTCTTCCCCTCTACGGCATCTTTCAACGATTCTCTGAAATACTTGGATTGTCCGGGGAACATTTGAGAAGCCAAGATTTTGTATTCGTGAGCTGACCTTGGATTAGAGAGAAGAATGAAATAATGAGTGTTTAAGGACATGGTTCTGTTGCATTCGCCTTTGGGATAAGCCGACTGTTGAATATTGATCACTGTGATGCCTAAATGATGAGAGAGAGTAGTATACAGGTGCAACATGAGTTGATTCTTACATATCTGCATCATTAAATCATCAAAAACCAGCAACACATGTTTTTCCGACTGAACAGACCAGGATCTCAATTCATCTTCTGTGGGAAGTGTGTCGTGAAACTGAATGCTGGGGATGGAATGTTGCATGTCACTGTACACATTTTGCCAAACTGCATAGCAATACACGATCGAGTTGGGCGGTGGTTGAAACATGTCCTCGGTGTGTTCCAACATCCGTTTTACCAAATGGGTCTTGCCAGATGAACTTTCTCCTATGATAGATATACTTGTAGGTGTTGGAAACGGTAGTAAACAAGAGCTTTCTGCAACAGTAGGTCCATCATTAGAGTGATCCATGGCTATACCGTACCAATGTCCTGAGACAACTGAACTCATCGTGGTCCGTGCACATGGACTTATACCATGTGTTTTCATTCACAACATAAAGCTATTTTTCTAGTCTAATTTTTTTATTATTATTATTATTGATGTTTTCCACGAGTACAACATATATTCAATACTATAATGGACAGAATTCAGTACTGTGTCATGAACAGCATTTGAAACACAAAACCATATTCACTAATATTACATATATGTCTGATTAGTACACGATAAACACGAATCTGCACAATATCTGAAATAGTGACAAATAAATGTGGATACGTATTCATCATTGATGAAATGATCATTCGTATCAAACTGTCGTACAATGTCATTCAGACGTAAATCGGCTTTGAATTTACATAAAAGATAGTACAATGTAAACAGACCACATATATTCGATTTGGAAGATTGTAATTGTTTTGTATTGCGAGTGTAGCAGCTACTATTTTCATACTTCATATAGTTATCAATGGGCTGCTCAGCCAAACTGTCAAAAAATTCGATTTGGCTCCCTTTGAAAAACATCGCAATCCAGTGACGACCCTCGTGTAAACGGTTCTCGGTGTTGACAATTAGTCCAACGCCTTTAGCACGCATGCTAGGCGTGAGCACGGGTAGAGTGTCTTTAGCAAAAACGCCTAGGACACGAGATCGTAAACTCGGGTCGCATCGTATGGCACATCGAAGCTGTGAAGCTTTCATTATCATCTGGTGATTACTTGACAAACATGTTGCGGACTTGGTCGATTTCGATGAGGGAATTTCGCTGAGTCAAGATGACGCAACTCAGCGTGCTGGTGAGCGCCGACTTGAATTCCAGTTCGAGCCTCACGCTTCCCGATTTCACCAAGTTCAGGTACTCCGACTCGTCGCACATTGTGTCGATGTCGAAGACGAACAAGGCGCTCCCCAGGAGAAATTCGCTTCTGGTGATGGCATTGCCCTTCTCTTCCTTCCACAGTCCCATGCCGTCGAGCATGTTGACGTAAGAGGAGACATCGTCCGCTTCGGCGGGTTGACCCGGTACACTGACTCCGTCGATGTACAGCGTTATCTTTTTAACCATGGACGACTTGAAATTATAGGGATTGCCAGTGTAGCTGCCGTTCAGACTCGAACTTTCCACCAGTCCCACGACGTATCGGTTGGCAACGGGATTGCTGACGTTGTCTATGGTGTGCATCTGCTGAGTGGTCGGGATGCTGGTCACTTTGACTTCGCTTTTGGTGTATGGGTAGAGAGCGTTTGATTTTTCGAAAAGTGTGTTGTGAGCCAAGATCAAGGCGGGGTTGACTTTGACCTTGCACACCTGCAGATAAGCGTCCAAGAGTTGAACTTTGAATTCGTGCTCAGTCACGTCGCTCATCAAACAAAATTTGGGTTCCGATCTGAACATTTTCAAAGTTAGGTCCACGTCGTTGGGGAGGAGTCGGTTGACGTCGAAGATGTCCTCGTACACGGACCCCGACATGGTGAGTTCTTTGCTTTGCGCTATGAAAGTGCCACGTAATGACATTCCCGAATTGACAGATCCGGTGACGTTACTGCTTTCCAGATCCGCGTCCCTCTGGGCAAAATCCTTGGGAAACAGCTGCGTCCCCAACTGAGTGTTTTTCGCTTCCGCACCATATCCCAGCAGGGCCCTCATCATGCTCTTGTAGGCGTAATGGTTGTTGGTACTGGACACGAGCTGGTTCTGCAGGTAGACCGAGACTTGGGAGAACAGTGACTGCATAAACAAGTTCACCGGGGCGACATTTTCGTCCTCTGCCAAGGCCGTGTCATCGGTCTGCGTTACTTTGACTTTGACGTGCAAACGGGTGCGCCTCAGGTCGTCGTAGTCGGGGCCTGAGTTAGTCACTTGAAACTCCAACGCGGCAGCATCGTTGATTTGGCTTAAAGGTCGCACGTTCACGAAATAATGTTTCTGTATGCTAGTCTGATAAGGAGGTAGCGTGAACAGATTAAGAGACTCTGGAACGAGCTCGTCAATTCGTTATCATTGATGAGTGACATGACGGCTCTATGTTCCTATAATGGACGTCTTTAACTGAAGATATCGTTTTCTTGCACGGGAGTACACTGGAGCGCTTTGGCCGTCTTGGAAGGTGTAGCGTTGTTGTCGGTTCGACGTATCTTCTTCGTTGAGACGGTGCTGTTGTTATTGTTGTGTTCCTGCTTGACGAGCCGGGATCACCAGCTTTTTTGCTTTCCCATGGAGAAGATGAGATGTTTTCCTCGCCTGTTTGTTATCGAAATACTGTTTAAACTTGACGTAGTCTGGGAAATACAGTGGACGTGAATCCATGTTGTTTTTTTACTCCACAAAAGGATAACGTCTTAAATGAAGTGTAGCGTAGGTCTCTGCCATTAAGAATGAAGCTGTAGACGCATTTTCTGACTTTAAATACAATTCGATATTGTCAGTGTCTTTCAATTTGACACGAATGTTAAATTCAGTACCAAACGTGTAGGTAGGTCCCTGTCTCAAATCGATGCGTCTCAATAAAGCCAGTTGAGTTTCGCCCGCCAATGTACTGTCACACAGGTTCATAACACGTCTACGTAATGATCCGTGACCTTAGTCAGATCCACCTTTCCAAAGTTCAACTCCGTTAAGGATACCACCCAGAATCCGTCGAATACTAACCTTTGATTTAATTTGACACGAAAATGATGGGGCGTATTATCCGGAAAGGATGTCGTTTTGGAGTCAGAGCTTTTGAGAAACACGTACTTCTCCATATTTTATTACACTTCTTTCAATTCGCTTTCTTCCACGTACGAGTCGAATGACTTAGGCCAGCCGACCCAGAGCGTATGTCTTCCCCTTGACTTTTTTTCCTTTTAAGCACTTTCTCGACTTGCCAGAGCACATCCGCTGCTTTGCTAACCTTCTGAAGCTCGTTTGTGTAAAAAGACCCTATCAAGGATTCGTCGTGAAAATCTTTGAGTTTGTACTGAGGAAACCCCTGTTTCCTGTAACGTCGAGCCACTTTGAAAAGCTCCTCCGTCCACTTGAGGTCGAGTTCCTTGCTGAAAGGTTTCCTGAGGTATGAGATGCGAACCAGATCACCTACTTTAAATAAGTATTTCTTGATTTTAGGTTTGCTGACTTTTCTCAAAGGTTCCAGATAGATATGGTTCCACACTTTCACTTTGTTCTTCTTCTTCATAGAGATCGTCCTTGGGGTACATATTATGCATTTTCCAAGCTGAAAATGTCCTGTGACAGTTGTATCAATGTTTTTTGAATAAAAAGATTGTACAATAAATAAACTTTTTTATTTATTATAGGGCCCCCACCTACGGAGTTACCTCCCGTTGCGCATACGCACCAACTGGGTAAGCTCCTAGGCCCGTATCATCATTCCTTCTGCTGTCACTGCCATGAACAGACGTCCATGTGCCGTACAGCGCTGACTTTATCTGCGATAAAGAGAACTATGTCTGAGACTACACCACCTGTATGTATGGTCTTTATTGCCTTATGAAAGGAACAGTAAAGCTTTGCAGTTGGTTGTTTCATAATTGTGACTTTGTATTCATTATATTACGCTAACTTTCCCGTGGTTTACGCACACGTTGGTCTACCATGGCGGGAAGTTTCGTGTGCCATGTGGTCGTAATATTGCGTATTGAACCAACTATTACTTCCCGTGGTA